CGGGGAAGGCACCTGGAGAGGAACACACTCTGGGTCTCAGTTTCCCAGGCTCGCACTGGAAGTATGGCAGAGATGAGCTCAGAGGGAACATGCAGCAAACAGCATTCAGTGCCTCCGTAAGCCCAGTTCCCAGAAGCCTATGGGAATTTATATTCAACCTCTTCTTAAAAATAACTACTGAGTCACTGTCTGCCTTTCAAGGTCACACACCATGTTGTTGTGGATTTCTCCTGGGAAACGGGAGAAGGGAGGGAATTTAATTCTAGCTTTGATTGGTCTGCCTTTTGGCTGAAACAACAGAAAAACATACAATTATCCCATTGACAATTACAGTCTACACACTCCACAGGCACAGAAAGTGACCCTCAGCAGCGGAATAGCAGCCGCAGAGCAGGGAGCACACATGTAAGCCATTACTGACTCAGAGATGGGCTGGCCTGCAATGGCCCCTACCAGGTCTCCATAACAGGCTGGACAAACAGGGGACCACTCATCACTGGCTACAGAGGCACCCAGCCCTGGTCATCTCAAACTTTGGTTAAAAAGAATTTACAAAACAAAGATTGACACTCGGTGAAAGGTCAAAGGTGTTGTAAATCTAACTCAATCAAAGGAAAGTCACTGGATGGAGTGTGAGTTTCTTGCTGACAGGGACCATGTCCTCCAGCCAGGGCATTATGAGTTCCCCTCAGCTACACTGTACCATACAAGGTATGTGATTTATGCTCAATAAATATCTGTGCAATAACTTCACAGGAGGCTAATAAACATACGACTGCTTGAATAGTTGGGAATGTGACATGTTTGTGTAGTGCTCCAAGAACACTGTGGAAACACAGACTGGCTTCCGCCTCTTAGCAGCTCTGTCACCCTCTCAAGCCTCCGTTTTCCAGTGGGGTGCAGGCTAGTCAGTGTTTGCAAGCTTCTTGTTTCCGGAAAGATTTGGTGCATAGCTGCTGAAAGCATCATAACCTGCAGTCTGTAGCTGTTATGGGCATGTCCTCGGAGCCTGGCCATATCAGGCCTTTGTTCAGAGAGACACTGTGGACAGAATCTATTTCACACGTTGTGATGGTTAATATTGCTTGTCAGTTTGCCTGGGCCGAGGGCAGTGGTTTTCACCTTCCTAATGCTGTGACCCTTTAATACGGTTCCTCATGTTGTGGTGACCCCCCAACCATAATATTATTCATTGGTACTTCACAACTGTAATGTTACAACGGTATGAATCTGATATGCAGGATATCTGATATGCAACCCCCAAAGGGGTTGCAACCCACAGGTTGAGAATACTGGTCTAGAGTCTCCTAGGAGACCAACCTCTGCCCATGACTATGGGCAAGTTTCTAGATGGCAACTTCCTAGATGATCTAGGAAGATACACTATAAATATAAGCAGCAGGACCTCATGGGTTTGAAAAAAACAGAGAAAGCAAGCCAAGCACCGTCTTTACTCCTACTGGTTGTGAAGCTGTGGGTCATGATCCCCCTCAGGGGTCAAACTACACTTTCACAGGGGTCGTCTAAGACCATTGGAAAACACAGATATTTACATTATAATTAATAACAATAGCAAACTTACAGTTATGAAGTAGCAATAAAAATAATTTTATGGCTTGGGTCACCACAGCATGAGGGACTGTATTAAAGGGTCACAGCCTCAGGAAGGTTGTGAAATGCTGATTTAGCTCTATCTGCTTCCTGACTATGCACACAATGTGATTGGCTATTTCAAGTTAACCTGTCTTCTTCTTCATAGACAGCATCCTTAAACTGTGAGCCAAAATGAACCTTTCCTTCTTTAAGTTGTTTTATGTCTGGTATTTTGTCACAGTTACAAGGAAGTAACTGATGCACAGAGTTTATTTGAGCAAAGAGGGTACAGGGCTGTGGGCTCTTATATGCTAAACATACAAGGGAAACAGAAATTCTCCCTGGCTGGCCAGAATTGGAAAGTGGGAAAGTGACTGGTGGCTTCTGATTGGTGAAACCTGTAGTTTCATTTCACTCTTTTCCTTGAACTTCACTTTGCCTGATGTGAATCAGAAGAGCAGTTCTAGCCTCTTGGCTTTTGTTTTACTGTCCAATGACAGAGAAAGGTGGTACCCAAAGTACTAGCCACTTGGAACAATGAAAAACTCTGATTCCGAAACTCCCTGTGAGGTCTACTGAATTGCCATAGAGCCAGCACCACAATGCAGTTTAACCCTCTACCCAGCCCTCTCCCTCCCACAAACACTGACCTCCAATGAGCCTCCCAACATCTATTCTGGACTTTGAACACCACCTCAAAGGCTGCTTCCCAGAGAACCTAATCTATGACTCTCGCTTGCAAAATAGAGACCACAACGATTGCATTGGCCACAGTGAAAATTCTGGGAGTAGCAACATGCCATAGAAAGTGCTTGTGTATGTGAGCCCATGATGTGATGGACCCTGGGTAAGCCCAGCCCTTCATCTTACTGTAAGGACCATGGTGCAATTCTCTGCCACGCTCTGCCTATAATATAGAATCCAGTTGAACAAACTAAGACCCTCCAACATCCTGTAAGAATGAACTGTTTCCCTGTGAGCAAAGCTCAGAACATATATGATAGATGATAGACAGGTCTCCAGACCCAGTGGTTTTATCCTTCAGTATCGCCAAGCTAGATTAGGAATACGTAAAAAGAAGCATGCCACCACCGCCCCACTTTGGACTCACTGCCCCACAGAAATACATGAAGACACTGTAATCAGCCTTTTGCACAGGTCACAGCTCTTATACAAGCACAGTCTGAATGCCTGGAGTTTCCAAGGTGCCTGCTGGATAAGGCAAACTAGATTCCTATATCACATTCATGCAATCTGACTTCTGCTTCTCCTTAAAACTTCTGAGGGCACTGGAAGCTGGAGAGAGGAAAAGAAGGGTCAGTGGGTAACCAGGGAGACATAAAGGCTGTCAAGATCTGACCCTGTATCCTTTATTCAGGGGAGCTATTCCTCATCTGAAGGGCAAGCTAACCAGTAGAAGAGTTTCTATGTGCCAGCAGGTTTTACCTTCCACCCTGGTGTGTGTGTGTGTGTGTGTGTGTGTGTGTGTGTGTGTGTGTGCATGTGTGAGAGAGAGGGGGACAGAAAGAGGAAGAGAGAGAATTTATAGTCTCATTAGAGACCTTTGACATAAGTACAAATCTTTCACAATTCACAGATAAAGAAATCAAAGTTCAGTTAGAGCAGAAACCAGAGTCAAGCTGAGGCAGTCTGACCTCCTCACCCCTGTCCTAAAGGCTTCTCCAGCCCTAGAACAGGCTTTGTCTGGCTCTCTCAGGACCCCATTGCTAGGACGACTGCTTTTCCATGGTCTAACTTAATGTCACACTGGGCAGAGGTGGCAGCGCAGTGGAGGGCAGACTGTACACTCTCCCAGTTGGTCCAGGTTTACAATTCTAAACTTTGAAGGTCTGTGTTTTCTTATGCATTGGTGAGGTCACTCACTGGTGGGGAAGAGGGCCAGAAGGGAGGGCCCCAGAAGAATTCTCTAACAACACCTATGCAAAGTGACCCTGCCATTAGCAGACACGTGTTAAACAATACTCTTACATGACTTTAGGTATTTTGCCTATATTAATCTGATTAGTGCTACACCAAGCCTGCATGGTATGGACTGTCATTACCCCCATTTAAACATGAGGGGACTGGAGGACAGATGGGACTCCAGAATTTTCACCAGCCACATGGTGAATAAGAAGTAAAACCATAGGGGGCTGGAGAGGTGGCTCAGTGGTTAAGACCACTGTTTGTTCTTCCTAAGGACCCAAGTTCAATTCCCAGCACCCACATGGCAGCTCACAACTGTCTGTAACTCCAGGCCTGACACCCTCCGACCAATGCAAATAAAATAAAGAAAATTACATAAATTTAAAAAAAATAAAAACAAAAAACAAAACAAACAAAAAAGAAGTAAAACCATAGATGACCACACTTGATGATCTCAGGAAGGCTCTACCACCAGTTGTCCCAAGCCGAAACAGCCCTGTCACTCAGGCAGCCTGACAGCCATATCTCACCATTTCTGAGTTTCACCAAACAGACTACATGCAATGATATGATCCCTTATTTTCTGCTTCTGGATATATAAGAAACTTCAGATCACACTTCTAGCTGTGTTCTGTGTCTTAGGGTGCATTCAAGAACTGTGTGTCAAATCCCTACAGCTCTTCTACTGGTGGCTTTATGAGAGCACACCATGGTTTCATATAGACTGATTAGCTCTGTCCCACAAGGGAGATTTAGTGAATAACCCATCCTTTTTGTTTTAAAGCATCACATTATTTTTACATGCCCACCTACCATCCATCATCTGTCTATTAATACAACTATCTGTCTGTCTGTCTATCTACCTATACATACATACATACATACATACATACAGGACTTAACAGGATTATGTTTTCTCTAAACAAACCATCAAAATACCCCTCTCCAAATAATCCAAAAAGAAACAGCATTTTAATTAATGCTGGCTGATAAGGCTAAAGACAATGCTCCTTGGATGATGGAGGTTGCGAAGGATCCAAGACTAACCTGGCTGCCAGAAGTCAGGTTGCATAGCTCCTCTAGGGAGCGGCCCTACCTCAGAGTTACCAACTGCCCCAGTTTCCCGAGCCTGAAGAATTTCTCGGGGCATTGAGCCTTCCTGTCGGTCAGGGCAGCCCCAGGAACAGCTCATCAGGCCTAGATGCTACACCCTGGACTACCACCTCTACTTGCGGTTCAGACCTCCAGGGCCTGCCAAGGCAATCCTGCGCTGACAGCTCTCTGTGGGCTTTCCGGCTGGGTGCAGCCACCTTTGGTGGCCTCGCATCTTTCCTCCAGACTAACTGTTCTTGAGCCTTCTGTCTTCATACATTGCCTATACCACCTCCCTCCCTCTGCCCACACCACTCTTTTCAAGGTGGCTCCCAAGGACCAGATCCCCTTGCAATTCCTCCCCGAGTAGGATAAGCTTCTTGACTTACCTCTGCTCTTGCAGGGGAATGGAATCCAGGTGGCGGCCTCCAGGCAGGGCCATCATGTTGACCCCAATCTGCAGCAATGCCTGCCCACAGCGGTCGGGACCCTGAAAAGACAAGCCACGGTGGGTCTATTGCGAGAGGCACTACCGTCTCTTCAGTTCTCAAATCTAGGATAGAAGGAGCCAAAGGAGGTGTGACAGAGGTCTCCCAGGCCTCCTCTTCTTTTGAGCTGACTGACACTCTGATATCCTCACACAGGTAAGGCAGATCTCAGCCCTGACCTTCTTTCTAAATCCCTGGCTTACTACAACCCCCTACGATCTTTCCCTTTGTCCTATTGCCAAATATTTGCCCTTTTGCTGTGTGACCGACACACAGGCCAGCAAACACTGTGCTGAACATACTCATACTAAAAGAGGAGCCAAATACATCCCATTTCAGATGACATCATTTCACCTGAACAGCAAGTGGCAGGCTCAGGATGTGACCTAAGGCTCAGTTCAGGCTACTGAGTCATGACTGAGAGAATCCTAGGTAAAGTTCCTTTTGCTAAGCAGAACCACTAGGTGAGACAGTCTCTCTCCTGCCATGCCCAGAAGATAATGCAAATCCACTTCAGTATGAGCATTATGCGGTCATGAGAGGAGCTAGCTACAGAACAGAGCTGGTGCGCAGAGAGAAATTGCCTGGGTCCCAAATCACAGGCCTTCTGAATCAGCTAATCCTGTAGTCTGGTCTGCCTCCACCCTTCCTACATCTAAGATCATACAAATTCGTGTCTCTGAAGTCCTTCTTGACTTGAAGGTCTCTGTTCTGCACAGCCAAAAGCTTACCAAAGGAAAGGATGAGTTTAGACTTCCAGTCCCAAACCTGAGACTGCACTCGGCTCACCTGAACCTCCCTGTAACACGTTACAGGATCGCTCCTCCTCCCTCATGAAACTAACTGCCCAGGTAGTCTCCTCTCACCTCACCTCACCCCTACAGTGCTTCAGAAGGAATTTTCTCCACATTCCTTCATCATTTTCTTCTTGTAGAGTAGTAGGCTTCTAATCAAGCAGAGAGTATATTTTAACAGCAATACTATTACACTGGTAGGCATATCTTACCAGGCAGGTCCTGGGTGCAGCTCATGGGATGCACAGTTGGGTAGGAATGTTGATATTTTCCCCCCTTAGCTGCTTAAATAGCATCTTCCAGCACTGTGAAAGCTAGCCAGCACAAAGGAAATTCCAGATCAGATCCAACTTGATTTCTCAATGTCATATAACCTAAATGTGTGGTGTCTTCAACTACAGGTCTTACAAACTTATTCTGGTAGGCAACCAAGAGCATTGGCAATCACCTATAATGTTCTGGGTCATGGAGGCCCTAGAAGGTCCTAGAACATAGAGAGTATCAGGGAAAATCCCAGTTTCCCGGGATAAAATCTCACATGTGATGAGATGACAGTAAGAGGACATTTTTGTCTTCTCTCTTTATCATAAAGAAGAAAAGAGACAAAAAAAATGAAGAGAGAATCAAAGTCTAACTACAGTAGGTTAGAAGACTGAGAGATGGTTGGCAAGCATCAAGGCCTTTTACAGTGCAAACCAAAAGATTCTGAAAGCCAAGGAGAAGCCCTCCATGGAACACCGGAGGAACATCTGGATCTGATTCCACTGAATCTGAGGGACTCTGAGAAAAAATGGTAGTCATGAGCAGAAACCTAGATGCAGACAAATGTTTGAGTTTCTGTGACAAGATTCTATAAATATAGCTTGGAAACCACAACATTCTGGCAGCGATTTCTAATGCATGATCTTCATTGAGAACTGCCCAGCTGGGATGCAGGTGAGCGCACAGGCTAACAAACATTTATTAGGGTGTTCTCTTGAACCCCGTGTCTTTTCCCAGACTGAGAACGTCCCTTGGGGACATCTGAGATTCTTATGAGCAAAGGTTCAGAGAGTTAAGACCAACCCAAAGCTATATAGTCTATCAGGAAACCAAGGACAGATTCAAGGGGACACCCTACTTCTTACTGTTATCAAAGAAAGAGCTTAAACAGCACAATGCACAAGGGGGACAGTGATAAATTCAGACCCTGGCCCTACCTTATTAGCACATGACCTTGAAAAATCAGCACGCCTCTGTGACAGTAGTTTCCTCAGCTACTAACACCTACTCCAGAAGCTTCTGGGAATTGAGTACAGTCTAAGGGCTCTGGCATTGCACTTGGGTAGGTGAACAAGGAAGTGTCCTTTTCTTAGGAAATGGAGTTGAGAAATGTAGAAGAGGTGAAAAGGGCACGCACAGATGTAAACAGGAAAGAATCATCCGGCCTCCGCTGGGTCACTCTGTGGATTCCTGGTCTGTGCTTTCGCTCACTGTGTCTCCTGCCCCATGAGTGTCTGCTCAGGAGGACTTGAAGCCTTGAGTATCTCTGGCTTCGTTCAACTCAATAGATCAATTTGGGTGGCTTAGTTCTGTTTCAGCTCCCATAAGGGCAGCCTTTGCTTACCTCCACTTGGCTAAGGCAACTGGTCTCCCCGCAGGAAGTCAAGACTATTTACACTAAAGTATTCCACTAGAACCAGCAGCAAAGGGTGTTTCTGCTCTTGTCTAATGGGACAGTCTGGAGCTAGCTCACAGCACAGCTGGGATTGTTTAATCTGAGGAGTTCAGTACAACTGACCATTGAAGAGACAGTAAACACTGTGGAAAATGCTAAGTTCCAGAAGCAGCACCAGGAGGTTGCCTGGAGGAGGAGGGAGAAAGCAGGGCCATCAGATATGGCACTGATCCCTCTTTCTCCAAGACTTCATAGCACACAGGTTGTAAGTGATGGGACCTTTGGAGCTAAAATGTCTCTTAGAGGATCTTAGAGAATACGGCTTCCTTTGGGAGGTCAATAGGACTGTCCTAATGTCTCCATATCTCTTTCTCATCTGTAGAACTGTAATACTATAGGCATTAAGATAATCCATAGACATATTGTTTCTTTGGTTTCTGACACATGCTTCTACCTCCTACATCTGAGAAATACCCCTACCATCATGAATTTTCATGCTATGATATTTAAACAGAAAAGGCTGGGCGTTTGTATCCTGAACGCTTTGCAGTAGTAACAAATGCAGTTGGTCACACAGAACAGAAACAAAAGACCTCAGCTTTATCAATTGTATAGAGCTTTTGAACATGAGAGGTTTCTTGCTGGAGCCTGTGTTTGCAGGAAAATCAGGTTTTTCAGTAGCTGGTATGCAGGTGACTCTTTGAAACAGCCCTGAAATATGTGTTTTTATTACAATTTTCTTCTTTAATCTGTGAATTTGTACAAAATGCCTAGGAGATAAAATCTAGTAGGTTCTACATGTACAGCCTACAAATAATCCCAAACAGCTTCATTTCCCTCATTCTCCAATATTTCATTATCCCCTGACATTTATCATTCTAATCCAGGAGAGAACTTCTGGAGGTCACCAGGGTCTTCCAGATTTACTCAACTCAAACCTTTCTCAATACACTTCCACAACGCTTTATAGCACAAGTCAAATCATATCATCTCACTATTAACCACAACCTCACCCCCACCACATTGGGCTTCCTACTGCTACACCAAGGTCAAATCTTCTTTCTGGGTAGCCCACCTAGAATCCATAGATCTGACCCCTGAACACTGTTCTAACTTCTCATCTGTCCCTCTCTGCCATCCAGCCACTCTGCTTATTGTTCATCGTTTTAGCACCCACATCTTCTCTTCCCAAGCACTCTCTTCTATGACAGCCTAACCTCCACCTTCCTCACCAAGTTATCCCTATGACCTTTCAGAGCACCACTCCCCAGGGCGGGCTTCCTCAGCTGGTGGAGTCAAGACCTTCAGTGTTTCTCCTCCACTGAACCTACCAAACTTAACTACAACATTAGCAACTTAGTATATCTCTCCCCTGAGGGTCCTGGGGCAGGCACAGAGGCCTTGCCTGCTCGGTGCTGCCTCCTCCATTCTCGACAAGTTGTCTGCTACAAGTTGTCTGGTTAAAAAGTACTTGTTGACTGGCTAGATGAGATGTTGTTGAAGTTACTTCAGCTTCCTCACTGATAGACAATGGTAACCATTTCAGTGTTGCCCAAGTATTCAGAAGAACTATCATGGGGGTGGGGCTTTTGCATAGCACACACGCAGCATCCTCCCAGCCACAAGATAATGGCGCCTGTCCCTTCCAAGTTCTTGTAGTCCTCGCTGTCTGATCATGCCCAGCTGGGCAGCTTCCCCTCCCACCCACAGATCTATGTTTATGAAGCTCTTCTGGACGGACAGATGAACGAACCAATGGACAGTCAGGATGCTTCATGAAAATTGCACTGACAGATAATCAAAAGAGATCTGGAGGACACCTGAGAGTACAAAGTCAGACAGCAGGGAGAAAGCGCCATGAAAACCTCCTTGGAGCACAGTCCCAATACTAAAACTCCAAAGGAGAATCTGGAATTATTAAAAGCAGAGGAAGGAAAGGAGCAGAAGGAAGATTAAGGAGGAAAATAAGCAGTAAAAACCAGATCTTGAGCATCATGAGCTCTGGGAGCAGGTGTTTCTGGAAAGTGGAACATTCTGAAATACGGCAGACTTTAAAGGAATACAGCCCCAATGGGATACAGGAAACAGGGTGGTCGTTCTCAGCAAGGAGAGAAGGAGGTGAGATCTGTGCTGATCCTCAAAGGCAAGCTGAGATTTTTGTCAGCTAAGGATGTGACAGTGATATTCAGAGCCAGCTGGGCGGTCTGGGCTGTAGCAGAAAATGTAGCAAGAATTTAGGGAACCTGGGTGTCCCTCGTGAAGCTGGAGGAGGCGTGCTGTACAGTCCTGGACATGAAAGATCCAGGTGTTTCTAGTCTCTAAGTTCCCATCCTGTGGATGTTCGGAGCCACTGGAGATGTTTGGGTGAGGAAGCGAAACAATTAGGATGGAGCTTCAGAGCCGTGGATGAAGCCCAGCGAGGGAGACCAGCAACAGCAGTTTGATTCAGAAGACAGTGGAAGCTTCTAGAGGGAGCACTAGAGCCCTGGGAACATGGGAGAAAAAGAAAGAATAGAGAACAGCTTTTGAGTTAACAATGAGCCTCCCTCAT